GGTGTGGAGGAGGAGATTGGAGTAGAGAGGATAAGAACTGGAATAGGATCATGAGGCCCATGAGGCCCCATGTGACAAAACTACAGGAGAGGTTACTAAGATGGTTATTCAAAAACTCAACTCATCGCCGTCTACTTGGAATTGACTCATAACTGACCCTCCGCTGGGTTTCTGAGACTGAAAATCAGCCGGGAGGGGACAGTCCATCTTCCCCCCAGGAGCTGCCGCTGGATTCAAATCTCCAGAATGATGTGGCCTTTGGGGTCAGCAACCAACACAGCTCACTACGGACCGGGCCACCAGAGCTCCCCACGAAGGAGGTGAGGGCAGCTCACCAGGGGCTTTGGGTGCCACAAAGAAGAACAAGATTTGATTCCAGGGTCACCAGAGTCACCAGGGTCACAAGGCTTTTGAACAGGAAACTTTGTGGGGTTAGAAATCTCATTGTGGAGATGCAGGAAGAGCAGCCGATGGTATACGAGCAGGAAGGCAAGCCCAGCAAGGTGGCTCCCAGGATGCTCCTGGAGAAAGATGGCAAGACCGAGGCAGGGCAGAGGGGGAAGGAGTGGCGGCGTGACTGGAGCCTGTGGGGACAGGGGAGCAGGAGCCTGGATTTCAAGACAAGATATGCAAGTGGTGTTCAGAGCCAGAGCCCGGGTCAAGGACAGAGATGGAGGAACAGCATCACTTCTGGGGCGGGATATGTGGGGCTGGAATTCCAGAGCAGGACCCAGTACCAGGCCTGGGTCTCAGAGAGGAGTCAGCTGCAGCCAGGGAGGAGGATGGTCGCAGCCTGGCCCTGCCACCTTCCCACCCGTCACCCAATTGCCCCCAGGCTGCCCAGGACAGGCCAAAAGGACAGTTGCTCCAGCTAACTTTGCCCAGCAAAACACAATGTCATTTCTGGATGAGCCTATGCAGCACCGGCGATATGCCAAGCTTCCGGGGGTTGGGGGCAGCTGTGTCCCCAAAACACAGCCAAGGAGTCATCTGCCAGAGGCAGCACAGGCGGTGGCAGAAGCAGGGCTGGCAGGGGTCCCCAGCATCCGCCAATGCAGAAACAGGCGGCTGATGGGACATCCATCTGCCTGGGCCTCGGCCCTTCTGCCAGGTCAGCCCCACCAGCAAGAGATGAGGGTCCCAGGCTCTCTCCAGTTCTCTCAAGCAATGCACACGAATGCATTAGCAACTGGTGCCTGCTGTATGCCAGGACTCCCTGGGTGGTGCAAACGGCTGACATGCTCAGGAGCTAACTAAGAAGGTTGGAGGTTCAAGTCCACTCCATGATGCCTCAGAAGAAAGGACTAGAGAGTCTCTTTTCAAAAAGATCAACTTTTAAAATCCCTACAGAGCAGAGTTCTAAACTGACACTCGTGAAGTCACCTTGAATGGAAGTGGACTGATTTAGGTGTCCCAAGCTTTGTTTCTCTCCAGAGGGTGACAAGGGACATAGATTTTGGAGTCCAACTGGCTGTGTTTGTGTTTACTGTTTGCCTATCTGTAATCTGTCTCTGAGTCTCTGTTTTCTTTCCTCACAACAGTGTTCACAAGTCAGAAACAGTCGTTGCCATGGAACCCAAACCAACTTATAGCTGGCCTTCCAGAGGTTGCAAATTGCACAGGGGGAGGTTGCCCACCTGCCCATGGATTATTGACAGCATAACTCTCTACCCAGTAGGTTACTAGCGTTCCCTACGAGGGTGCTATAGGGCCTTAAAAAAAGCTTGTGGAGGAGACAGTAACTAGACTTCACTCTACTTCAGAAATTTTGGTTGAATCCCAAGGATGAAGACAACAGGTTCCTATTTCTTAAAGGACTTAGCATACAATCTACAGAATTGATAGAGAAAACAATAAGTCTCATGTGTCTCCACTAGCTTGTGTAGGAGGCAAGAGACTCAGACTGGGGGTGTCAGTGGAAGAGTCCTCTTCTCAAGGGGGACGAGGGGCTTCTGGGAATCTTCATGGAGGACAGTGTCTGCTAGGAGGAACACTGGCCTTCCTCCCTGCTTGGACGCTGGCTAATGCTGACCTTCCGCACCAGGTCTGGGATGTACAAGGAGACGGTGCTTGGGATCTCCAATGTACACCCCCTGGAGTTTGGGGACAGGGACACTGGGATCTAGGGAAGTCTGAGGTAGGGTTGCATTGTGGTACAGCCTGCAGAGATGGAGTGAGGTGCATTTGCACAAGAAGTCAAACAGGCACCATGGAAAGACACAGGCCGGAGTGGTCGTGAGGGGTGACCTCCCCCCTGAAGCCCCCCACCCTGAGCAGACTGCGAGCCAAGGGGCCCAGCAAAAAGGGACTAGAAGGGCAACACACGAAGAGGAGCTGAGGGGAAGCTCGGAGAGGACAGGGCGTGGTTATGCCAATAGCCCCAGGAACTGGGTAATGCAAATGCCAGCACCACATCTGAGAAACAAAAACGACAGACCAATGTCCTTGGTGAATAAAAAGCCAGAAGGAAACTCACTGCTGTGGAGTCGGTTCCGACCCTCAGTGACCTTCAACCGCACTTCCGCGGCTGTAAATCTTTACAGGAGGAAACTGCTCACCCTTCTCCCTAGGAGCTAGCAGACTTAAATGCTGACCTTTCCGCTCCAGAACAATGCTTCATATCTGATGAGTATAAACCAAAACGAGCAAACTGACTCCAACAGCATATCAAAAGAATTACATACTATAACCAAGTGGGATTTATCCTAGGAATGCAAAGGAAACCAATCAATGTAATACATGATGTTAATAAAAAGCCATGGCCAGAGGCTTCCCTGAAACCCTCAAAAAATGCCCAAGAGAGCAGGAAGGCAGAATTTGGAATCTGCCTCATGACGGCCTCAGCAGTACAAGCAGGTCCACACGCAGGTAACATGTTGCCCATTTCCTTCTGTTCTTCCTCATCTGCCCACCCCCGGGGCGGTCAGTATGTGGAGGAAGGCAAGAGCAGTTCCAGAGACAAGAGACAGAAAATGGAGCAAGGGAAATGAAGCACATCTAGAATCACCCCCTCTTCGCAGTGCAAAGTTCTGAGTCTGGGCCAAAAACCTTATTGCTGCCAAATCAGAACTGACCCATAGTTGACCCTCCACTGGGTTTCCAAGGCTATAGATCAGACAGCTCAAGGGAGCTCTGGTGGTCTAGTGGCAAGAAGCTATGCTGCAATCCCAAAGACACGCAGTTTGGATCCACCAGATGCTCTGCTGGAGAAGGAGGGGCAATCTTCTCCTGTGCCAGTGGGATCCAATTTGACGGTACACAAGAAGAAAAGAAAAGGAGAGAGAGAATTGCTCTTCTTTCTCGCTCAGAGTCACTGGTGGATTCAAACCACCAATTGCCAGAGAGTTGCTTCCTTTTAATTAGCTCACTTTCACTGCCAAAAGCTTGAACTCAACTCATAGCTGAGCCTCCTGCAGGTTTCAGAGGCTACAATTGCATGAGAGGAGATTGCCCATCTTTCTCGTGTGAAGCAGCTGGTGAATTTGAACCACTTGCTTTTGGGTTGGCGGTACAGCTCCTTACCCACTAGGCCATCAGAGCTCCTTTTGAGTTAGCAACTCATGTGTCCCTTAATAGCAAGATATGTTTCATGAAATAAGATGTTACATGATTTAGATGTCATGTAAACTCCATATGAGAACTCACTGCTGGTGGTCCCTGTTTGCTGTCATTACCACTGCCGCTGCTAACATTGCTGGCAGAGGTAGGAGGAATGAGGGGCGGCAGAGAGGGCAGTGGTGGGAGCAGAGAGAGGGGAAGGGAGCAAGGAGGGAGCAGAGGGCACAGCCTCACAGGCCACTGTACCCACCTGAGCAGAGGACAAAGTTCAGATGGAGCCTGCACTCAGAGCCACGCCCTCTGTCCCGTGTTACAAGAATCCAGGCTTGGATGAATGTGCACACAGATGCTGCCCAAATGGACATTAAGTGATGCAAACCTGTATAAGCGCTGTTTATTTAAATGAAGTGAGGTTTATAGATTCCTAAAATGGCTATAACAGCCATGGGCCTCACCATGAGTAAGAGATCCACCAGAACAGGTTGACAAATGATAATGCTGTTTGCTGATGTGTCCTTGAGCCCATTCGGCTTGGAAAACCCGTTGCACATGTGCATAGACACCAGCATGCAGAGATGGCTCCCAAGCCCATGACCTGCGTGCGTTCCCCAGGGCCTGCAGACAATCCCACGGACCCGGTGAGGGAGGGACTCCAGCCTGTCTAGCAGGACCTAAGTTGGCATGACCTAGGGTCCACCTCTTCCCATGTGGAAAGACAGGCAGCATGGAGTTTGGAGAACACTTTGCTGCACTCAGAAAAGGGCAGGATCTGGCCCCTGCCATTTGGATTCCCTGATTGTGGGTCCACAATATGCCATACTCTAGTGGGGGCCCCAAGCACACTGACCCAGGAAGGGATGGTGAGTTGTGATGTAAACATGGAGTTGAGCTTTGAGTGAGGACCTTGTAGGAAAAGAAGATACACAGAGGAGGGAAACAGTGCCCCAAGTGGAGGGGGTGGGCACAGCAAATATTGGGACATGCTGGACTGAGTGACGCTCAGGAAGGGATGTGATGGGTCTGGAAAATGAGATATTGTCAAGTCATCTCCTATAAGGCTGTGTCCACATTGGCTATGACCAGCTGAAGCCTCAACGTCCTCATCCACAACCTGGGGGAAATTGCACTATATATAGTTTCTTAAGCTCGTGAATACCCAGAAATAAATTAGTCCTGTTGTCTCGATCTAGGATATTTGGCAGGCACCCAGAGAACACACTTTGGAGCTGGAAAGGCTTAAGTTAAAATCTCAACTGTGCCCAGAGCTTATTGTATAACACTATATAAGCTATCTCCTCTCTCATGACCCTCGGTTTACTCATCTGTAAAATGGGGGTGACATTCCTGGATAGTGAACGTAAGGGAGACACAAAAATGTGGCACATGACTTAGTTCTCCACCCACCCCTCTCCCATCCCACCCTCAAAGTCACTTTCACTTACATAGGATGCCACCAGGGTGGTTGGGGCCAGCACCAGAGCCAGGTAGAGGCAGGGGGCTGTGGCAAGCAGGCTGGAGGCACAGATGAGGGGCTCAGCCCTTGGGTTGACTTTTTTGTACCTCCTCGCAGCCTCTGCTCCCAGAATGACTCCAATGATGCCAGTCACGACCGTCAGGGCTCCAAAAATTAGGCTGGTGGAAAGAGGGAAGAGAGGAATGGGTCAGCATGGGAGGGGTCAGGATAGTGGTCCTTGTTCCCCCCATTCCCCAAGTGCACAATACAATTCTTCCAGGGCACGTACCTCTGCCTGACCCACCACTTCTGCACCTCCTGAGCTCTCCTGAAGCATCAAGAACTCATGTCCTCCCCCTGCATCACGGAATCTCAGCCCACTGTCCTCCCCTCTCCCTTTCCTGCCTCTTGCTGAGGATGTCACTGGCCGTGTGGGTGACCCAGCTAGCATTCTGTAGCCCAGTTCTCAGCCCGCCCCATCTTGAATGATGTGTTCTACCCGCTCACGACCCAAAACTGCCGCTCTCAGGAAGCTTCGTTCTCGCATCCCACTCTGATTCTAATCTCTCCTCCACCCAGATCCAAATACTAAGGGAAAGGGGGCAGATGCATGTTTCTTTATTGAGCTCCTAAAGAGCCCTAAAGTGCTAACAGAAAGTTGTTTATTCAAGCCCTCCATCCTTTCTGCAGGTAAAAACATGTAGCAATGTGCTTCTATAAAGATGCCAGCCTTGGAAGCCTTATGAGCCCCTTCTACTTTGTCCCATCCAGTTGTTATGAGTTGGAATCAACTCAACAGCAGTGGGAAGGTTTGTATGACACATCTTGCCATTGTCTGGTCAGCCCGCTCGCCCTCCTTCCTTAAATTGCACCATTCCATGGCCCAACTTTGCATTGGGAAAGCCTGAATTCAGGAAGCTCTCCAAACTATTGAAGAGCAATGAGGTTAGTTTGAAGACTAAAGTACACCTGATTCAGGCCATGGTCTTTACAATCACTTGCTGTGCATCAGAGAGTTGGACAATGACTAAGGATAACAGAAGAAGAATTAAGGCCTTTGAACTTTGATGTTGGAGAAGAGTACTAAATGTCCCACAGATTGCCAAAAGAACAAACAGATATGCTTGGAGAAGGTACAGCCAGAGTGTTCCTAGGAGGCAAGGATCATAAAGCTTTATTTCACATACCCTGGGAATGTTGCTGTTGTTGTTGTTATGTGCTGTCGAGTCGCTTGCAACTCATAGCGACCCTATGTACAACAACCCTAAACCCTGCTCTGTCCCGTGCCAAGCACACTGCCTCTGACACACCCATCCCGATTACCCCAGTCACTGAATCAATCCACCTCAGAGAGGGCCTTCCCCTCCTGAGCTGTCCCTCCACCCTCCCAAGCATGATGTCCCTCTCCAAGGACCTGTCCCTCCTTACAACATGTCCAAAGTATGTCAGACGAAGCCCCAGAATCCTTGCCTCCAAGGAGTAGCCTGGTTTAATCCTCTCCAGGATGAATCTGTTTGTTTTCTTGGCAGTCTAGGAGAGATTATTCCTTCTAGAGGGACCTCATGCTTACAAAGGTGAAGGGTTAGTGAAAGAAAGGAAGACCCTCAACCAGGTGGATAGACACAGTGACTGCAGTCATGAATGAGCTCAAGTGTGTCAGAGATTATGAGGATGGCACAGGATAGGACAAGATTCAGATCTGTTGTAAATAGGGTCACCATGAGTCCTACTCAACACCTAACAACAAAACAACATGACCTATCACCGTCCCACCTGTTCCTGTACTTGTTTCAGCGCCCTCAGCCCTCCTTAGTTCCTCCCAGAGGATGCTTCCTGAAAGGCAGCTCTATCCGCATCCCTGCTCAGCCTTTCCCTGAAGTTCTAACACCTAGGGATTTAGTCCTTACTCCTTATGGCAGCACGCTTGATCCTTTATGATCTGACCTTGTCTCAAGGCAACCCTGGTTCCCAGCTCCATCCTCTTTTTCTCTCAGACTAGCTGTCCTCACCCTGTCTCCACCTCATACTTTTAATCCCTCCATTTGGAACACTCTTCCCTAGTTTTTTCTAACTGCCAAACTCCTACTCATTCTTCAAGAGTCATCACTAATGTCCTCTTTGGGGGGATGTCTTTCCTCACTCCCTTGCTGATTTCTTCACTCTCATCAGTTCCCAAAGCACTTCTGTGTCTCTGCTGTTGTTATTAACAGAGATCTGGTAGCCTCTATGAAGGTGGAGAAATGATGAAAGTTATACAAATATTCAGGTCTTTTGTTAATAGGGTCACTATGAGTCATCTATGACTCAACGGCACTTAACAACAACAACAACAAGAGAGCTCTGGTGGCCTAGTGGATAGAAAGTTATGCTAGCAAGCCAAAGGTGGGTGAACACTCAGGCCTGGTTTTAAATGTTTTTGGTCAAACATTCTTCTACGTGCTATAGCACTGTTCTGTCTATTTGCTGTACAGAGGTAACTTGTGGTTGCTGTGATGCTGAACACTGTGACATTGATGTGTCAATTGCAATAATGGTTACCCATGGCAGACAGTGTTTGGTTGGGCTCCCTGATTAAAACAAGCTTGGAAACAGGAGTGGCATCTACTTCTGAAAAAGCTTGCCTCCGGAAACCCTGTGAACCTGGAGAAAGGATGAAAGTTATACAAGTAGCTAATAAGTTGTCTATGACTCGACAGCACTTAACAACAACAACTGGTAGCCTACCCGTAAGAAGTTGCAATGCAATCTCAAAAGCAAAGTTCGAATCCCCCAGCTTCTCCACACCAGAAAGTTGGACCATCTCCTCCCTTGTGATTTACTGCCTCTGACAACCTGCTGAAGGGTCAATTCCAATATGATGGTGCATAACAACAGCCAGAGGGTTTTCAGAGGCTGTAAATCACACAGGAAGAGATTGCCCATCATTCTCCCATGGCAGTTGGTGGATTTGAACTGCTTGCCTTTGGATTGGCAGCACAATTCCTTACCACTAAACCATCAAAGCTCCCTATAGGTTTCTCGCATCAGTCATTCCTTAATCTTGGAATTTCTAGGACCACAGTGACAGTAACACCTTATATGTTGAGCAAACGAACTCCTTGCTATTTCTCAGAATTCCCTGGGTGGGACAGGTAAAGGAGGTGAGATTGAAGAAGGTTAAGACAAAAGAATGACACAACTTTGCCCTGTTAGTCCGTTCTGCTCTCCACAGCCCCTCTTAAAAGAGCTCAGAGGGACAGCTGGGCTGTGGCCAGCTCACCCTCTTGAAATCACACATCCATGACCTCTTCTGGCATCAGGCCCCTCCATGGCTCCTCACTGTCTCTGCGCAGAGTCTCTGGCCAGTGCTCAAGGCCTTACAGAACTGGCCCCTGTTGACCTCACCATCTTCCCTTTGCCTTCTTCCTCCCGCTGTGCAAATGACTCAGAATTCTCCCATCCCCCTCTGCACTTGAAAATTCCCTTGGCCAGAAGCCTCACCTCCCTCACCCACCCTTCTCCACCTCCCAGACCCAAACGTTGCCAGTCCCATGTGGAAGGGCACAGGTGTTCCACTACTACCTCTGTGGCTCCCACTGATGTAAGGACGTAACAGGCACAGGACTATGATTACTAATAAATCAGGTAACACAGCCACCTCACCCCTAAGCGGGTCTACATCCCCTTTCCATGCAAGAAAAGAGCTAGGGACTCACAGAGGGCAGCAATTGCCTGAGGTCACACACTGCTCAGGGGCAGAGCTGGGGTCTCTCAGCCCTCTGCCTACCAGCTGGAGGCTTGTGGGTCTTTAGGAAGCTTAAAGGTGCTCAGGGAACCTTGCCAGCCTCCAACTCCTGCAAATTCCTAGCTCATCCCAGTCAAGTGATCCCAAATCCCGGATGAAGGCCATCCACCTGAGCCCTGGTCTGGGCCAGCTCTGGCAGGTTCTCCAAGACTTTTGCAAGACGAGGGGTTTGGTCTTTGCACAGTTTGTCCTGAAAAGGATCACCTTACCAGCCCTTGAGTGGAAAAGTCTGTCATAGGATGTGTCCCAGCCCCCACTGAAAGGGACCCTTGAAAGTTCTTCCCATGCCCATAAGTCTTCTCAGAATCACATGCCCTCAGGGCCAAGAAAACCTTTAAAAGCCGGCAAATCCTATTCTGAGTACTTATACTATGAGGCTGGCAAGCTGCTGACCAGCTTCTATGTACACCCCCCCCCCCAGGGCTGAGAAGCTCACTATCCCTCCATGTAGCCCCTTCCCTCTGGGCCAACTCTGAGTGTGGGAAGATCTCCCTGGCTGGACTCCTGTGTCTGTAGCTTCTGGCCCCTGCCCCACCTTGACTGGCACCCCTCAGGCTTCTCCTAAGTGAAAAGAGTATAGGAATAGCTGAGGTCTGTGCAGAACCCTGCATCAGGACCTCACCCTCTGGACGGTACGCTTAGTAATGAGCCCAAGATATTTGCATCCTGAGACTGTCACACTTTGCAGATGTGATTAAATTAAGAATGTGAGATAGGAAGATTAGCCTTCACGCAGTCACAAGTATCCTTCTGAGAGAGAAAGATAGTGTGAGATTTGAGGCAGAAGAAGAGGTGAAGGCAACGTGGCCACAGAGCCAGAGTTGGAGTGATGTGGCCATAAGCCAAGGAGGGATCAGACGAGGCAGACTCTCCCCAGAGCCTCCAGAAGAAGGAGGGCCATGCTGACTCCTTTATTCATGTGAAAACATTCTGGACTTCCAGCCTCCAGAACTGTAAGAGAAGAAGTTTCCATTGTTGCAAGTCACCACGTCTATGGTCATTTGTTAGAGCAGACACAAGAAGCTAATGCACACTTTCAGGTCAGCTTTTCACAGAGTTAGAAGAGAGTGAAGGTTGAGAAAAGAGAAAACAACTTGTTTTAAATGCCAAAGCCAGTGGATGCCTGGTGTGGAATTGGGTTCTGGTTTTTTTCTTCTTTTTTTTTTTCCCACACTTGTGAGGCTTTTAGTACTGAGTCCTGGCCTCTGGGGAGATAAAAATCACGCCGAGGTGCCAAGACAAACATTACTTTTTCGTGCACTCAACATCTTTAAGGGCAAACTTTCCCTGAGCACCTACTCTCTGCTGTGTGCCAGAAAGTAGTCCGGGGGGGGGGGAGCTCACATTCATCGACAGCAGCAGGCAGCCCCCAGAGGCAACAGGACACAGAGCTCAAGAACATGGGCTTGACCGGCAGAGGAATGTGAAGCCCGCCTCTGTCATGTGTTAATTGTGTGCCTTTGGACCAGTTACTTAACCTCTCTGAGCTCCCGTCTCTTGTAACAGAGTAGGAGAGATGTTAAGTACTTAATATAGAAGGGGAAACGTAAATGGAGATACAGGTAGAGAACACAGCCCGGGCAACAACCCAGAGAAGTGAAAGTGCACGGGACATTCTGGAAATTACGCTAAGTTCCGTGATCAGGGAAAGAGGGGGAGAGGCCAGAGAGGAGGCTAGGGAGAAGGAGGGAGAAGCGAGAGCTGCCAGCAACAGAGGACCATAATCTCTCATGGCCCAGGGAAGCACGGAGCGTGGAGCCCTTTGCTAAAGTTAGCTCGTTAGCTGCCGTAGTCTATTTGAACTCACAGCTCCTCCACATGGCGGAGCAGAACTGCCCCCTGGAGCTTTCTTGGCTGAGACCCTTATAGGGGCAGATGGTCTTTCCCACACAGAGCCACAGGATGGGTTCGAACTGCAAAGCTTTCCCATTAGTAACCAAACCCTTAACGGTTTGCCCACAAAGGATAAGACCTTGGTGGTTGCTATTATTGTTAGGTCTCCTCACGTCCACCGTGACTCATAGCAAACCCACGATCAGGAACTTCACCTATCCTGTGCCATCCTCATTATCTCCAATATTTTTGAGGCCATTGTTTCAATCACTGTTGAGGGTCTTCCTCTCCTTCTGTAATGTCTTTTTCAGTATGTGTTTTTCCAAGGACTCATCCATCCTGACAACATGCCCACAGTACAGTACATGAGGCCAAGCGTCACTATCTTTTCCTCTAAGGAGAACCCCAGTTACACTTCCTCCAAGACAGCCTTGTTTGTTCTTCTGGCAGCCCATGAGCCTGTATTCAGTACTCTTCCCTAACACCACAACACCAAGACACCAATTCTTTGGTCACTCTTATTCATTGCCCAATTTTCAGATGCATAAGAAGCAATTGCAAATACCACCCATGGCTTGAATCAGGCACATTTTGGTTTTTACTGACATCCTTGTTCTTTATTACTTTAGAGATGGAACCCTTATAATTCAGTGGCTCCACTTCTAAGTTTATGTCCAGGAGACTTGAAAGCAGAGATTCAAAATAGATATATGCAAACCAGAGTCTGTATAACACCAATCACAGACAGTCAAAGGGAAGAAACAACCAAACTGTCCCTCAACAGATGACTAGACCAGCAAAATATGACACTGCGTAGTCAAGCATTGGAATATTTGTTACTCAGCCATCCAGTGAAATGAAGTCCTGATACAACATGGAAACATTATCCTGAGTGAAATAAGCCAGCAATGGAAGGACAGACATTAGAGGATCCCTTCTGTATGAAATATCTAGAAGAGGCAAATACCTGGAGATCAAAGTGAGCTAGTCATAACCAGGGGTGGGACGGAGCGAGCGAGGGGAACCCCTGTCAAGGAAGCAGCGAGTTTCTGTTTATGGTGATGGATAATTTGGCAGCGGACCCTGGCGATGATTGTGCAACATGAAGAATGTCACTGAGTTGTACGTGTGAAAAATGTTCAGTTGGCAAGTGCTGTGTTAGATAGATTTTTTTTTTCAACCACAATTACAAAATAAAATTAAAAAAAAAAAAACAAACAAAAAACCATGGGGCCCTGAGAAACTCTTAAGAAGCCTGCAGGGCAGGAACAGCGAGGGGAGAATATGAGGAGTGAGGGATAGAAGGAGGAGAAGGTAGAAGACGGAGAAGAACAGGATGAAAGGGGTCCCTGGCTCAACATCAGGAGGGTCACTGGTGTCCTCGGGATGGACGGAAGGTGTAGGGGCAGCGGAGGGTGGAGGACAGGCTGGTGGGAGAAGCAGGGGGCTTCCTCAAGGAGGACAGAGTGCTTGCCAGCTTTATGTCTTTGCTTTCCCAGAACTCAGTGCTTTAGACCAGGCAGAGGACGAACACAGGCATGAAATCCCTAAGCCAGCTTATAACAAGGGGCAGCGTGCTTCTCCGAGCCTCTGTTTGCCACCTATAAGATAGGATGGCCTGACAGAAGTCACTCTGGGTCCCTCAGAAGGACAATTGTCTAGAACTCCTGTCATCCCTCAGCTGCCTAGAAGTTTCACCTGCTACCCACTGCCTTCTGCTTCCCACAGAAGCTTCAAGAGTGCAAAGAGGTGGGCTGGGGCCCGAAGAGGGCAGGAAGCTGCCCATAACCACCCAGGGTAGCAGGGACAGAGGCAGATTGAGAACCAGGCTTCATACTGCCAGGCAGACCTCAGGCTGCTGTCTTCACAGAGCACCAGGGGCCCTGAGACAGTTCACTTTCGGCCTCAGAACCTCCTGGAAACTTCTTCACCATGGACCCTCTCACCTGGGCCAGGTGCCCAGGGCTTCCAGAGGCTCTCACCTGTCCTGGCTGTTGCACGGCTCCTGGAGGCAGGGAAGCTGCAGCCCATGGACCACATGGGCCTCGAACAGAAACTTAGGGGCCCAGAAGCCCAGGGCTCCTGTCACAAAGGCCATGGCTGTCACTCCAAAGGTCGACCATACGAAGCTCCAGCTGTAAGAGAAGATGTCCTCGTTGAAGCCAGGAAAGAGCGAGGCTGCACCTCGACCCTCTCCTGCGCATTCAGACCACGGCACACACCAGCCTCTGATCCCCAACCTCCCCAGTGGCCGCTGAACACCTGCGAATCCCTCCCGCACACCCTCTTCCAGGCTGGAACAAACTTGTCTCCCAGGAACAAACTTCCCACTTTGTTTTTATTTTATTATTTTGTGTGTGTGTGTGTACCATTGAATCGGATCTGACTGGTACAGGAGGAGACTGCCCCTCCTTCTCCAACAGAGCATCTGGTGGATTCGAACTGCGTACCTCTGGAATTGCAGTGCAGTTTCTTGCCACTAGGCCACCAGAGCTCCCAAACTTACCACCTTGAAAAGCCCACATCCACTCTCACATTCTCCTGGAAGGTATCCCTGTCCCTTCCTCCTCTGAGTCCCCTCAACTGGTCTTCTGACCTGCATTGAGGAGGACTGTGCCCCACTCGTGCCCCACACGGAAGTGAGTCCTGCCTTCCTCCCCCAGCACACCTGTGACTGAGCAACTGATCGCACCCTAAGAAGCAAACAGGCTACTGATCATGTCCATCTGATGGATAAGGAACACAACTCTCCAAATCTAACTCAAGAACGAGATGAGGGCAAGGTCCAGGCTGAGCACATTGCCACCTGCCTCCTTCTCAGCCTGTATTTCTGTTGTTTGTCAGTGGGAGCTACGCTCCAGGCCAAGGAGGGGCATGTGCAGGTGGTGAGGGGAGCTCAGAGGAGGATGAGAGCTGTGAATGCTGGAACTATCAGGGAGGGCTTCCTGGAGGAGGAGAGAGGGAGGTGGTACTGGAGGTGACAGGACCTTTCTGCAGTGTCCAGGACTCACTTTCTCACCAGGTATCTGACGTCCTCACACCAGGTGCTCCTCGGGACCCCCATGACTGTCTCTCCATGCTTCTCAGCAGCACCCCGGGGTGGGTCTGGAACCAGGGCAATGAGCAGGACCAAGGCCATGGCCTCCAGGCAAGGCATGATCTGGTGACAGGTGGGCACAGGCAGCTCAGAGCGGCGTTTCCATGGCTGGAAGATCCTGGGGTAACTGGCCATAATGTCTGAACCCTGGGGTCCAGGCGCAGCTCATTTTCTGGGTGCTGGTCACACACAGAGCTGGAGGTACCACTTTCCCATCTGCCACCCCTGTAGCAGCCTCAGGATGGGATTCATACCTGTGAGCCCACCACTGACACTGCTCTCCGCTCGGTGGACCAAGACAGCTGAAAGCCAGAGTCTCAACTACCCTGACCCGCACTGTTGACCTCACTGAGCCTGGCTGTCCCAAGCCATGTCCTTTCTCTTGACCTATGCCTCCATCAGCCATGCCAGTCCTCTTGGGGTGTCCTCTCCTCACTGTACCTCTGCTCATACCCCCAAAGATGGGGTGCTCACCACTTGTTTAGGGCAGCCTTTAAACAACTCAGACCTTGTTGCTGTTGTTAACTACCATCAAGTATGACTCATAGCAACCCTGTGAAGAACAGATCTGAACTCTGTCCTATCCTGTGTCATCCTCACCACCTCTGGCACACCTGAGCCCACTCTTACGGTCACTGTGTCATTGGGGGTCTACATCTCACTGGGGGTCTTCCTCCCTTTCACTGACCTTTACATCTTTCCAAGCATGATGTCCCTTTCCAAGGAAGAGCCTCTCTTAACAACATGCCCAAAGTATGAGAGGCGAAGCTTTATCATCCTTGCCTCCAAGGAGCAGTCTGGCTGGACTTTTTTCCAAGACACACCTGTTTGTTCTTTGGCAGTCCATGAGAAAGCTTTTGTTCAGGCCAGCCTCAGGTCTGCCTCCTTGAAGCCCACCCCCCGGGTCTGACTCTGCCGTCTCGGCCTCACTTCCACCAGCTCCCTCAGCGCCCTGATGACTCAGCACAAGTCTGCAGCCACAGACAGCTGCTGAGGCTGCTTCGTTAGGACCAAGCCCCCAAGCCCCTCTTGCCGTTGAGTTCCAGAGTCCATACTGGGTGACTGCACCCCCAAGAGGGCTGACCAGGTGTTTACCTAAGGATCCGAGGCAAGTTCCCTGAGTAACCTTAACTGTCTACTGTGGGCCCTGGCCCCAGACCAGGAATTTTTCATTCCTTGTCTCATTCATCCTAAAAATTCCATACTCTGCTTTTACTACTCCCATTTCATAGGTAGTCAAACTGAGGCTGTGAGGAGAGTGAGATGACTTTCTCGAGGTCACATAACTAGTAAATGAGGAACAGCTGGGCTTTGAACCCGGGCCCACAGCTTCCATAACCCGTGTCCCATATGGGGGTCTCAAATAATTGAAGCGGCCAACGTCCATCCTCCCCTATGGCGCCAGTTATGGAGCCAAATGTCTAAGGCCACGGGGCGGGGGGGGCGGGGGGGCTGGAAAGTCCCTGCTGGCTGGGGCAGGGGATAAAAAGGGGGGAGGAAGCTGGACTCACGCGGAGGGCCCAACGCCAGTTCCCAGTCAGGTCCGTCACCACTGACCCCAGCACGTAACCCAGACCACTGCAACAGAGGGGCAAGGAAAATGGTGGTGAAGGGTGGCAGGGAGGCAGCCCAAGGCCAGTCTGATCTAAACATTCCCGAAGTTAGCCCTCAACAGGCTCTCAGTTCTCAGAAATGCCCCAGCAGGGAGCACCCGAGGCCCAGATGGTCACTGCCCTTGGTCAAGTCACCCGTGACCTTTGGCTCCCGGCCACCCCCAGCACCACTGTCTCCCAACGTGCGGACACCCCACCCGAGGCTCAACCCTGCCTGAGTCAGGCATGTCAGGAAACCTGGGTCAGAGCGCAGGGTCTGGCTACAGATTCCGCTCTGTCCCACCCTCTCTGGGGTGCAGCATGCGGAATGCATTTCCTTGTATCACACCCCAGAGGGGCGGCACCCAGAGCAGGCCCCATACCACAGGGCCCTTCTCCTCACTCCCAGGAGGGAACCAGACTCATTCTTTCTCACCTTCACCTCAACTCACTAGCAGGTGTTACTGCCCCCATTTACAGATGAGGAAACCTGAGGTTTAGAGAAGTAGCATGATATGGCAAAGGGGGTGAATGAGTACTTCAATCCCAGGTCTCCTGGCTGGATCTCACCTACCCTCACCATCGGTCCTATACTGACTTAGTTTACCCCTCCCTCGGGGAAGTGGATGCAGGTTTGACACCAACCTTCCCACAGGGATGAAGATGTAGAAGACAGCCAGCACCCGGGTCAGCTGGTCACTCACAAAGAGGTCCCCCAGGACGGTGGGCGCAATGGTGGAGAAGCTGGCTGTGCCGGTGCCCACGAGGCCCCGGGAGATGAAGAAGAGCCAGGAATACTGTGTGGATGGGCACAACATCACGGCAAGTTTCAGAGTCACCAAGGGCCAGGGACCAAGGATTTGTCAGCAGGACACAGGTCCCCAGTGAAGGGAGAAAGAGGGTCAGGGCTGCAGACACCTCACCATCTTTGCAACCCCAGGTCCCAACATGTCATACACGCCCCCAAGTGGTGGCCACAGCCTGTAGCCACCACCCTCCTCCATATCCCAGACCAAAGTATCACTGGCTTTGCTAAGCTCCCCAAATCAGGAGCTGACACCCACACCTCACCCACCCCCCAAGCCCCTGCAGAGTCAGGCGGAAGTGAAGCCACAGGCAAGAGGTGCAAGGGAGGAAGGTTGCTATTGGGAAAGTCTAACTGGCTCTTCCCTGACCAGGGCTGGCCGGAGGCTCAGCCTGCACTTCCTCTCTCAGCCCCCAAACCCTGGGCCTGGAATGCAGCAGAACCAGCCTCCCAACCCCCATGGTCTGGATCAGTGAAGATGCAGGTAGGAAAGGTACCTGGGGAGAGATGAAGGAGCTGGAGAGGCCAGCCCCGGACCAGAGCAGGATCCCAAAGCTCAGAGTGGCCTTGCGGCTGTATCGGTCACCCAGGTAGCCAAACACGGGTGCAGAGAGCAGCAAGCAGCTGATGAAGACTGGAGAGAAACACAGGGGACGTTATGAATCAATCTCTCTCTCTCTCCCTCTCTCTCACACACACACACACACACACACACACACTCTGTCTCTCTCTGTCTCTCTCTCTCTCTCTCTCTCTCTCTCACACACACACACACACACACACACAGAGTCCAGCCATCCCAGGAAAAGGGCCAGGCCCAGCTGCCACACATTGGTACTAGGACAGAAGGAAGAAGAGAAAAAAAATAATAAAAACACAGATAAGATGACTCTCCCAATTCCTGTACAACACTCAGCCCAGAGTGGAAGTGACTAGAAAGTGGGCAGAGATCTAGAATCTGAATCTAAATCGAATGGGTGGAGAGGTAGGTTCGAATCCCAGCTCTGCCACCTGCTCACTGTGTGGCTTTGGGTAACTAGATCGACCTCTCTGATATCATCTCAACAACGAAGCCATCAACATGTCCTTTGGGGTCTGGGTAAAAATGAGTTGAAGGGGAAAGGCAGAGTCTGGGCACAGAGCCTGGTGTGTTTAGTAGACATCCATTCCCAGACTTTACAACAAGTCCCTTGGGAGCCTGGGGACCTCTAAGATGCCCCTTTTCTAAACCTTGGAGTTGGCCTGATGTATCGCTCATAACCATTGTTAATGGGTATGTGGCTCAATGGTAGAATTCTTGACGTCTATGCAGGATACTCAAGCTAAATCCCCAAAGTGTCTCACATACAGTCAACACTTGGCTGCCAGTGGAGGTTTTTGGGTTATTCTGATGCTGAATACTTACTGGGATGGGTCCCATGGTAGGGGACTGGGGAGGTCTGGCAAGATCTGCTTTCACAGCAGATGAACACATCAATTACAGATCCAGGAGGCTGGGGGTTATTATTCATCAGTATGCAAGGTGTTGTTCTAACACTGACCATTATATTTCTTAAACTCCATTTTTAAAATACAATCCTTATTACTATTACCTACTCAACTGATGAATAGAGTTGGGTGTTTAACAAAAAAATTGCCATGTTTTTCCTAGACATATTAACTTGGGGGATGCAAATGGTTAAGACACTTGCTGCTAACCCGGGGGGTGCCTCGAGAAAAAATCCTCATGAGTGCTCTTTTAAAACATCCATAGAACTCTACGTGGTACGCAGGAGTAATGATTTTTTATTACCTAACTTGGGAAGGACTGGAGAGCATTAAACTGAGTGAACTAACTCAGTTCCACACAGACAAATATTGTAAAAAGCCATTATTGTAAAAACAAAACAAAACAAAAAAACCATTATTGTAGAATGAGTATAAGGATCAGGGAGGGGGAAGAGGAAGCAGAGGGATGAGGATGTGCAGGGGGCTAATTCCACAGCAGTTGGGTTTGGGATTTTTATTCCCTTCAATGGCTAATCATTGTCTTCCATATACCCTGGGAAGTCTTATGAGGAGCAAGAAGACTTCATTTTGAATAACACTAAATGTGTTTTGATTAGGGTTTTAAATTTTTGTTTGTTTTTTTCTTAAAAACTGTTGTTGTTATGTGCAGTCGAGTTGCCTGCGACTCATAGTGACCCTATGTATAACAGCACTAAACCCTGCTCTATCCCTTGCCAATCATATTGTCTCTGACACACTTATCCCCATTACCCCAGTGACTAAATCAATCCATCTCATTGAGGGTCTTCCTCTTCTGTGCCATCCCTGCACCCTACAAAGCATGACATCCCTCTCCAAGGACTGATCCCGCCTTGTAACACATTCAAAGTATGTCAGACGAAGCTTCAGAATCCCTGCCTCTAAGGAGCAACCTGGCTTCACTCTCCCCACGACAAACTTGTTTGTTCTCCTAGTAGTCCAATACTCTTCTCCAGCAGGGAGAGCGGAAATTAATCATGGAGTTGTACAGTTTGAGGAGGGAATTGGAGGGAAATTGGGAGACTGTTCTGGAAAATAATATATTTGAATTTTGTAAATAAACTAGTATAATAATAATAATTTTTTTAAAAGGAAAAAAATCCAAAGGAATAAGATTCGACTCCTCTATTCACGCAATTGTCCCAAGTGGGAATCAACTCAACAGCAAGGATTTAACACAAAGATACATGCACATAAAACTTCTGTTTCTTAAAGACAGTTTTGTCTAATCTCTGGGGATAGTGGGCTCCACTGATTCCAAGCTGAGCATTCCAGGGACCCTTCTGCACCAGGACCCATAGCCCAAAGGCCTCAGGCCCTAAAGGCTACCTTCCTCCTCAGTCTCCACTTCTCTGCCAGTATCTGGGTCTCCATTCATCTGTTGCACACAAATAACTGACATTTCCTGTGGCCCATGAATATTGGGATTCTACACAACCCACGTTCCATCCACTTCCTGTCTGCCCTCCATTCTGCTCTAGAACTATTGCTGTTATTGTTGTGTGCCATCAAGTAGACTTTGACTCATAGCAACTCTGTGAACAACAGATCTGAACCTTGTCCTGTCCTGTGCCATCATCATCATCATCACTGCTATGTTCCAGTCCATTGTTACAGTCACTGTGTCAGTCCATCTTACTGAGGGTCTACCCCTCTTCTGACCTTTCATTTTTGATGTCTTTTCCCAAGGACTGATCTGTCCTAACAACGGGCCCAAATTATGTGAGATGAAATTTCACCATTCTTGCCTCTGATGAGAACCCAAGTTGGTTGCATTTCCTCCAAGACAAACTTGTCTGTCCTTTTGGCATTCCATGGGCTGTTCAGTACTCTTCTCCAACACCACAGTTTAAAGGCATCAGTAATTCTTCTGTCCTCTTTATTCACTGTCTAATTCTCAGACACACAGCAAGTAATTGAAAAGGGCTATGGCTTGGATCGGTCACATCTTAGTTTTTAAAATATCGTCATTGCTCTTTAGTCCTTTGGAGAGGTCCTTGACAGCAGATTTTCCCAATACAAGTCTTTTGATTTCTTGACTACTGTTTCCATGGATGCTGATTGTAAATCCAAGTAAAATTAAGTAATTAAAAACTTCAATCTTTTATCCATCTATTATTATATTGCATATTGGTCCAGTTATAAGGATTTTTGTTTTCTTGATACTGAGATGGAATCCATATTGAAGGCTATAGCCTTTGGTTTTCTGAAGTAATTTCTTCACATCTTCTTCACTTTTGGTAAGCAAAGTTGTGTCATCTGCATAATGTCGGTTGTTGATTAGTCTTTCTTCAACCCTGATGCCACTTTCTTCTTCATATTGTCTAGTTTCTCAAATGATTTTCTCAGCACATAGTTTGATTAGGTAAGGAGAAATGATAGAACCCTGACACACATCTCTCCTGATTTTAAACTATGATATTTTAAACTTGTTCTGTTTGGACAACAGCTGTGTACAAGTTTTGCATGAGCACAAGTAAGTGTTCTTTGCTTCCCATTCTTCTCACTATTAGCCATAATATGTTATGACCCACACAGTCAAATGCCTTTGCATAGTCAGAAAGACACATACAATCGTCTTTCAGGCGTTCTCTGCTCTCAGCCAAGGTCCAGCTGATTTCAGCCATATGCAGTTGCCATAATTAGGCCAGTTCTGAATCCCCCCAAAATGGCAATTTAAAATGGTTCAATGTAATTCTTCCACAGAAAATGATCATTGATATCAATGACATTTTACACTGTAATAACTACTGCCAAAATTACCTCCCAAGAAAGCCTGTATCAATTTACACTCAACAGAAGCATGTGCCAGGAATTCTGCTGACACTTGATACGATGATCAATCATATTATCTTAATAGTTGAAAAATAAATAGGATTTCACTGATGTTTTAATTTGCACTGTTTCTGGCAAGGTTAAATAGATATTCCCTTTTTTAGGTTTTTAGTTTTAAGTTCATTGTTGCACATTTTCTCCCCTCTTCCCCTCCCTCACCTCACCATCCCCCAGCCCACTCCACAATGTACCCCTCACTCCAGATTGTTCTAATGCATATAATGCATAATCATAATGAATACAAGTACTTATGCTCACATTCTCTGTCCATTTTTTCCCTATTAAACTGTTCTTTGACTTCACATATTTTAGAAATAATTTGTTCCTGTCCTTTGTAGTTATTTTAGCAATTAAAAATGTAAGTTTCAGAACTCACTGACCAGTAAAACCAAGTGCCATGGAGATGACTCTGAATCGTGGTGATTCTATGTGCTTCAGATCAGAACTGTGCTCAAAGCATTTTTAGTGACTGATTTCTCAGATGTAGATGTAGATAACCAGGCCTTTCTTACAAGGTGCCTCCAGGTGAACTTGACCCTCTAATCTTTCAGTTAACAGCCAAGCATGTTAACTATTTGTACCACTCTGTGGAGACCATTAAATAAAATCAAGGGCAGTAAATTACTTTACCTATGTGGCCAATGAATGTCATTTATTATGACTGAATCAATTTATGGTTTCAATCACCATCACACAGAAACTTTTTGTGTTGATGTATTCAAATGTATCACTTCTTAATTCCTTCAGGAGGATTGTGCTTTCATGTCTTGTTTACCTATATCTTCTTTACCTAAAAGGTATAGGAAACATTTTCCCAACTCTCCTAATCCTCCTACAGTTTGGGGAGGCCTCAACGCAAAGGCCTTAAAGCTGCAGATTTCCTGCATGGAGAGAGCTGCCCCCAAGGAGAAGGCAGGCCCTCCCTCAGGCTTCACGTACCCACATTCAAACCCTTCAGTGGCAGTGAGCCCAACGGTCAAAAGTTAAAGTCTTGAGGTAGACATCCTGGGTTCTAATCCCAGTCCTTCCACTTACTAGCTGTGCCACCTTCAGCTAGCTCAATAACTCTCTGTGTCTCGGGTACAGACACTGTAAAATGGAAAAAATAGTAAAACCTGTCACATGGAATTGCTGTGAAGAGTCAACTGTTTAATAGTATAAAGCACTTAGACTAGTGTGAGTTACACGATGTTGATTTTAAATGTCATTAATTAAGAATTGATATTATTGCTATTATTGTTGTTATTGCTGTTGTGTGCCATCAAGTCAAAACCGACCCGTCACTGACCCTCCAGTGGGTTTTCAGAGGCAATAAATCACATAGGAGGAGACTGTCCATCCTCCTCTTGCAGAGCAGCTGGTGGATTTGAACCATGTTTTTAGGAGCACAGCACAGCTTTTTATGCCTAGGCTATCAAAGCTGCCTAATAATTGATATTGCTGTTACTGTTGTTGTTGTGTACTGTCGATTCCTGATCGACCTATAGCTGATCCTCTGGGGGGTTTTCAGAGGCAGTCTAATCACAGGACGAGATTGCCCATCCTTCTCCTGCAGTAATTGATATTTATCAATTCATTCTTCATATCCTCCTCCATGCAGACCTGTGAGAAGGCAGCAGGGAGGGGACCTTAGGGCCATTGCAGAAAAGACTTGTGGAGGGCACATTAGCGTTTAGCATTGGAGACAAGACTGGTCACCAAACCTACAAACCACTGCCCTTTCTAATGTTTTCTTGGACCATTTCTGCAATGATGACTCTTAAGTTACTCGAAAACACAGTAGCTCACACATGTCTCCACCACACACACACACACACACACACACACACACACACACACACATTCTCTCTCTCTCTCTCTCTCTCACACACACACACACACATTCATGCATTAACACTCCCAAACTCATTACAGTCAAGTTGGAACTGACTCTCCAAAACTGACTCTCCAACAAGTCCTTTGAAGCTGTAAATCTCACACGAAGAGATTACTCATTTTTCTCCCTCAGAGCAGCTTGTGGATTTGAATCTTCAGAGAGGTACAACCTTTGGGTTAGCAACACAATTCCTTACAGACTATCCACCAGAGCTTCGCATTAACACATTCACACGCCACCAATTCACACATATCTGCAGGCACACACACACTCTTCCCTCCACAGTGTCTCATTTGTCAGGGCTTGTGGAACAGTCCTGTTCATAATGATAAGAGCCAGGATAGAGGAAAAGTTGACTCAAGTTGCCATTATCTGTTTAATCAAGAACGTTGTGGTTATTCTGCTGAAATAATCTTACATTGGCTGCAAATACGACTGAACGATGTCTCCAGTCAGCAGGCCTTGGCCTTTCAGCACTGAGACCGAAGAGCAAACACTGAAGCTCTGAGGTCCAGAGCCACGATCTTCCAACATCCACTCAGAGGACCCCTGAAGAGCTGTGGATGTTGAAACTATCCTCTCTACGTAAATACTTGCAAAGGATGTGGTTCCTGGGATTATAATACATGTTTTACTTTGTCTTATTCCATCCTTAGTCCTGAAGACTGCGTGTTTCACTTTACAGAAATGCTCACCACGTAGTCTAATTAGCAAAACCAGGCCTCTGTCAAACCGAGTGGCCAAATCAGACTGATTTCTATGAGAAAACTGTCGGCTTCATCTTTTCATTGAGATAAATGTGTTAACACTCAGCTCTCAGACAATCTTCTGAATGTTAATTCAGAGATTAATAGCAGACACACAGGGGATCAGCTAGACAAGAGCTGGCATCTAGACTGTTGTCATGGAATCAACCCCAACTTGTGACAACTTCCTGTATGTCCGAGTAGAACAGTGCTCCGTAAGGCTTTCAGTAGCTTATTCCAAAGTGATTGCCACGCCTTTCTTCCAAGGTACCTCTAGGTAGACTCAGCCTTCCAAGAGAAAAGCAATCATAAAAGGGGAGTTAAGAAAGGAGATTCACAGGCACTCACGGACAGAGGTTCACTTTAGGAAAGAAATACTCAGGCCTTGAAGATCTGGAAATACGTTCTCTCAAAGTGGTACCGTACCTGCAGAGCCCTTCTAGGCTTTGAGGCGGTGGCCAGTAAGGTGGAGGAGGAGCACCTGTGTCCTAGCTACAAGTTGGTGTGTGCACACATGTGTGTCATCTGTCATGTTGATGTGCACACATGTCAAAGAGAAGCTGTTTATGTATTATAGATTTAATTGTATCCTAAAAAAAAATACATGTTGCAAATTCTAACCTCTATATCAGTACTTAGGGAGCACTGGTGGCCTACTGGTAAGAATCTGTGCTGCAATCCCAAAAGCACATCGTTTGAATCCGCCAGCTGCTCCATGGGAGAAAGATGGGCAATCTCCTCCCGTGCGATCAACTGACTCTGAAAATCTGCTAGAGAGTGAGCAATGGGTCAGTTCCAACTCCATCCTACACAACAATAATAACAACAACGTATCAGCATTTATAATCCCAGTTGGGAAGGGAGTTTCTTTTTCTTTTTTAAGGAGGTGTGACCTTTGTATACAGAAAAATGGGGAAGGGAGCATGTGACCATGATCATGATGATTTGAGATCACATGTAGTTACAGGAATGAGATTTCTTTGTTACGCTGATAATATAGGATTACATCAGTATGTCTTCAATGGCTCTGTTCTGAGACAGAAAAGAGATTAAACAAGTAATTGAAAGAAGCAGGGATGGGGAAAGACAGATGTCAAACCACATGAAGATCACCAAGCAGCAGAGAAACAGAAGCGGAAGAGACAAGCACCTTCCCCAGAGGTGACACAGAGAGAGTGAGCCTTCTTCCAGAGCCAGCACCCTGGATTTGGAATCCTAGTCTCCTAGACAACAAGAAAATCAGTTTCGGTTCCAAAGTGATCTGTTTGTGATTTTTTTGGGTTTTTAAAAAATTATTATTATCACGACAGCTATAATGGTTTAGGTTGCCCATCAGGTTGGCTGCCCATGACTCTGTGGTTTGGTAGCTATTTCCTTGATGAGATCTGATGTAATGCAATCATGTCCATTATGTGGTCACCTATGAGCAGCTAGTCACTTGAAAGGGGGCTCCTCAGTATTGTGGTTTGTATCAAACACACATGGACATCTAGCAAAGCTCTCTTGCTTTTTGCTCTATTGGGAATCCTACATATGGGCTTGAGCCAGTGGCCTGCCATATATGTCTCCTGATCTTGCATTCATCAGAAGCCTCTAGTCTGATGTCCAATCCATGGACTTGGGACTTGCCAGCCTCTTATAAGATTCATTTCCTTTAAGTAACTCTTTCTCTCCACCTCCTCTCTTCTCATCTATCTATGTATCTGTGTCTATAATCTACATCTACATATCTATCTTCCCCCTCTATCATGATGTTGTCTATGGGTCCAGTGGGGAGGATTGTTTTCTTGCTGTTCAAATGGGATCTCCATTGAAGTTTGTAGTCTTTGATTTTGATCTTGTGCAGTAAGAGTTTCAAATCTTCTTCACTTTCTGCATGCAATGTTGGGTCATCTGCCTGATGCAGGTTGTTGATGAGTCTTCCTCCGATCTTGGTGCCACCTTCTTCTTCATGGAGTCCACTTACATGAAGCTTTTCAAAAAGGATCAGTCTTTGGAGATAGACAGCATGCCAGGAAAGGTAGAGGAGGCTCAGCAAAAGAGAAGAAGACTTCCAAGAAGATAAATTGATAGGGTGACTACCACAAGGGACTTGAGCATGACAGAGATCCTAAGGACAGTGCAGGACAGGGCAGACAAGATTGAGATGTGTTGTGCAGAGGGCAGCCATGAGTGGTTGTCCACTCAATGGCACCTAACAACAATGTGTCTCTATCTGTATCTATACAACGTATCTCTACCTACATCACTATATATGTATCTATGTCACTAGTCTCAACTCTCTAGGGAACTCATCCTAAGACAGCAGCCCTAAATAACTATAAAAGACAGTGTGTGATCATGTAGGTACCGACGGGGAAATTTAGTAGCCCAATCACTTCTGCCATGTAATCGAGTATGCTGTCAATTCACTGTCAGCCCTGGCTTCATCTGAGCTCAGGTGAATGGATAGAGAGAATGTGTCTCAGTGTTGGATTTCCTAGTCTGTGAAGGAAAGCATGAGTCAGGATTTCTAAATTCCAGTGCACAGGTGAGCTTAACAAGTACTAATGGACCGTGAGTCTGACTCCACAGACTGATTTATGCCCAGAGCCTTGTCCAGCCTGCCCCACTGCTCTGTCAACAGCTCCCTACACTCGGCCCAGAAGTGGTTGCTGGAGCATTAGATCTTGGCTCAAGCTGGCTCTTCCCCCTCCCCAGACTGCTCCTCATACTCAAACCACCCCCCATCCTCAATGCCCTCTTCTCAGACTTTGTGGCAGACCCCAATTCCCAGGAGCTGAAGCTGGGCTGAGAACAAGACCCGCTGAGAGGTCCCACCCAGCCCAAGCCCAGGTCTCCAGCCCCAAGGTTGCTCCGAAGAGCCTTGCTCCTTACCAGTCTGGAGCAAACCCGCATTGCTGTCACTGATCTGGAAGAACTTCTGCACATCCAGCAGCACTCCTGTGGACAGAGGGACAACGCTCAGGACTGGGCAGCAGTCCGGACAGGCCAGATCTCTAACAGCAGCTGCCTCTGCACTTGGGACTGGGCCACAGATGAGCAACAAGCACAGGGTCTGGCACCCAGACCAAAAGCATAGCTACACACACACACACAGAGGCACAGTCATCAACACACAGTTCACAGAGACAGCATGTGTGCAAACAGGTGTTCCAAGAGAAACAGATCCATAGGAACAGATACACACAAGCACGCAGAAAGCTGTCTCGCTCACATGTCGCCTCAGACAACCACACTCATACACATTACACTTAGAAGTGCATACAAAGGCGCAGCCACAGGCAAATAGTCACATGCCTGTGTGCAGGGCTACCATTCACACTGTAGTCTGAGTAACTGACAACTCCCTGTACAACCAGTCACTTAGACTACAGAGGAAATTAATGTCTCCAGAGCCATGAAATGTAGCAGTCTTGCTTATGCTCAGTTATCACATATTATTTGTTCACAAGTGACTGTGTCTGCAAAGATGTTTGCCATCTGCCCACGCAACAACTGTCAACGACTTCGTTTAACTTTGATCTACAATCAATATACTTGGAACAAACAGTCAGGAGATCAGGAGATGTATTGCACTGGGAAAGTCTGCAGTCAGCGACCTCTACAAATTATTGAGGAGCAATGATGTCAGTTTCAAGACTAAGGGGCACCTGATTCAGATTATGGGCTTTTCCGTTATTTACTATGCATCTGAGAGCTAGACAATGAGTAAAGATGACAGTAGAAGAAATTATGCCCTTGAGTTGTGGTATTGGAGAAGAGTACTGAATATTCCATGGACTTCCAAAAGAACAAACAGATGTGTCTTGGAGAAAGTACATCCAGAGTGCTTCTTGGAGGCAAAGATGATAAAGCTTCATCTCGAAATCAGTGAAGTGGGGGAACGACAGCCTTTTTAACAAATGGTGTTAGCAAAATTGGAAAAATATCTGCAAAAGACTCAAGCAAGACCCACACCTCACTCCATACACAAAAACCAACTCA